AAGATCAAGAAAAAAAGTCTAAATAAATCTTATTTATTTTTCATACTGGATACTGAACCCAGGGCTTCATGAGTGATAAGGACTGGCTGTACTAGGGCACACCTCCAGCTAAATAAAATATTTGATGCATGTTCATTTTATATTTGTGTGAGTTGTGAAATAATCCTTTCCCCACATTTGCTATCTCATAAAACAAATGAGATCACAGGGCAGGGAGGAGATCTCACCCTCTGTGCTGTGCCCTGATTTATATCCACACTCAGGCATCCCACATACCCCCCACCAGGTTGTCCTAGCTAGTGGCTGTGCCTAAATACCCTTATTGTCATCCTGGCCTCCTATGAGTAGGCTTTATTCTCAGGTAAATTATTTCAACTACCACATCTCAGCTTCCCTATCAATAGCATGTGGGTGATTATGGTTTCTGCCTTCTACTGATGTGCAGATTAAATGAGATAATGGACTTGAGGCTTGCAGTTCAAATCACATGGTAGAGAGTAAGCACTCAATATAGATCAGCCATTATTCATTAAGTCTGTTTTCTTTGGAGACTTTCTAGTGACAGATTTTGTTGTTGTTGTTGTTGTTGTTGTTGTTTTCTTGTTTTTGAGATGACATCTTTCTTGCTATGCAAAAAGCAGGCTGGCCTTGTTCTCACAGAGATCTGCCTGCTTCTGCCCCCACAGTGCTGAGACTAAAGGAGTGTGCCACCATGCCCGGCTATACAGTTCACTTCAGTCAAACTTTCCTTTCTAGAACTGCCTCCTCAGTGTTCTTTTGAGCAGTAGCATTGGAACTGCCAGCCGAGCTGCAGTCACTTAACCCTGAAAGAAGGCTTTGAGGTAAGTCCTTTCATTACATCTTTTTACAGGAAACTGAGGACAGTGGGATGGTGTAATTTGGCCAAAGCCAGGGTAGGAAACTAAGGACTAACACTGGTACACTGTTTTCTTGTTTTTGAGATGACATCTTTAATTCCTGGGCTTAAGTGATCCTCTGGTCTCAGCTTCTCAAACAGCTGGAACTGCAGACACACACCATTGTTCCCAGCATAGTGGCATATATGTGTAATTTTTATTTGCATATGTGTGTGTATGCACATGTGCATGTAAGTGCATGTGGAAGGAAGAGAGCACTGGATATCCTGCAGCTGGAGTTACAGATGCTTGTAAGCCACCCAACCTGGGTGCTGGGAATCAGATTTCTGGCAGAATAACAAATATTCTTAACAATGGAAAACATCTCTCCAACCTCAGTAGTGGTAGATACTTTTTATAATTTTTCACTTTTTATTTTATGTGTATGAGTGTTATACCTGCACATATGTAAGTGCACCCATGTCCTGCAGTGCCCTCAGAGAACAGAAGAGGGCCCTGGAACTGGAGTTACAGATGATTGTTAGCCTCTATGTGGGTGCTGGAATCTGAACCCAGGTCTTCTGCAAGACCAGCCAGTGCTGAGCCATCTCTCCAGCCCCTTGATTTTTTTAATGTGTATGAGTGCTTTGTCTGCATGTATGTAAGTGCACCCACATCATGCAATGCCCCAGGAGGCCAGAAGCAGGCATAGGAGCCCCTAGAACTAGAATTAGGGATGGTTGTTAGCTACCACGTGGGTGCTGAGAACCACATTCGGGTCCTCTGCAAGAGCAGCCAGTGCTCTTAAACTGCTGAGCTATCTCTCCTGGTCCAATGGCAGATATTTTTTGAAAGGCTTCTTGGGACTTCTTCCAGATGCTGACCTAGCAAAACCCTGCTGCTCCATCCTAGGATAAGTTACTCACTGAGTCCTCTCTGGGTGATAGGTGAGGGAGGTCAGATGCCTGGCCAGAAAGAGCATGCCTGGCTTGCTGTCTCTGGAACCCCCATGCTGCCATCCAGGGCATTCAGAGGCACTGGATGACGAGCTGGGGTATACCCCAGCAGTGGAGCCTGGCCATACACAGGACTCCGAATTTCATCCTCAGCACTGGGGAGGAAAAGGAAGGAAAGAGAGGAGAGTAGTGTTAAACAAAAGGAAGAGATCCACCAGGCATGGTGGCGCATGCCTGTAGTCCCAGCACTTGGGAGGCAGAGGCAGGCAGATCTCCGTGAGTTCAAGGCTAGCCTGGTCTACATAGTGAGTTCCAGGACAGCTGGGGCTACAGGGAGACCCTGTCTTAAAAAGACCAAATAAATAAATTAATAAATAATAAATAAATAAATAAATAAATAAATGGAAGAGCTGCTGAGTTGAGTTGGCAGAAGGAATGTATACCTACTACAATATGCCACTGATGAATCCTTCAGGAAATCCACTGGCATTCCTGATCCCTCTCTGCCCATCATTCAGAAGTTTTTAGTTTTATGCTTCAAAGTTGCTCCATCTCTCTTAGCCACCAAAAATTGTTATCCGTGAGATGGCAAGAAATTTGTATTAAAAAGGCAATGACTCATAAAAGTGGTGAACCATGTTTGTGGCAGAGGTTGTCTGCAAAAGGCAAAGCCTCACTGGAAGGGATTTGAGCTTCTGGCAGAAGTTAGGGCAGAGGATGGAGGAGCTCTCTGGGGAGACTTCCAAGTATTCAGTAGACCTAGCTAGCAGCTCAAAGGCAGCAGAGGAAGAGGGAAGGAGAAAGTACCTGCCTTCTCAGTCTGTGTCTCCCTCCGTGAAGGGCAGTTGGCTCTCCCTTCCTCTGAAGGATCCATCTGTCACTCTGCTAGCCTGGCAGCTTGGCTCTGTTCCAAAGCTGTTGTGTTGTGTAGGTATATATTCATCAAACATGAATCTCCTGAGCTAGGCATGGTAATGCACACCTTGCGGCAGAGGCAGGAGGATCAGGAGTTCAAGGTCACCCCTTGGCTATGTGGTGAGCTCGAGACCAGCCTGTGCTACATGAGACTATGTCAAAAAACAAATCCAAAAATGAGCCAGGTGTGGTAGCACATGACTTTAATCCCAGTACTCAAGAGGTAGAAGCAGGCAGATCTCTGTGAATTCAGGGCCAGCCTGGTCTACATAGCGTGTTCCAGGACAGGGAGACCCTGTCTCAAAAAGACAAAAAAAATCATTTTTTAAACATGTTTCCTTCATTTTCTTTTTTTTTTTCTTAGTGCTAAGGATCAGATTCACATACTAAACAAGTCCACTATCATTGAGCTCCTCCCCCAGCCCCAAGCATCTGTTTCTAAAATAAATGTGAGTTGTGTATGAAAAAGTTAGAGGAAGGACAAGTAAGTGAATGCAACATGTTAGAACATTAGAATAATTATCCGCCCACTCTTCCATGTACTCACAATGCCTCTGCTCAACCACTCACCTTGCCTCACACCCATTCATCCATTCACCTACCCTCTCCATTCATCTGTTTAACTATTCATGCATGTACTTACATTCCTGAGACTTGCTGGGGATCCAGCCTTGTGCATGTACTAGGAGCAGCAAGATGAATGCCAGTCCATCCCCTGCTCTTGAAACCCTCCCAGTCTAGCAAGAGAGACATCCTCAGATGTACCTCGGAGCATGATTCTGTGATCCGCATCCCCCAAGGCTCAGAGAACATCTTGAAAGAGGAGGTGGAAAGAATATAACAGCCAGAGTGATGAGGCAGAGTGCTGTGAAATGCTGTCTACTGGACATAGACTCATGAACTCACAGCGGTTGTGGTTGCGCACAAGACCTGCACAAGATAGAGCCTATCAACTTTACAGCATGGATGGGGGAGGGGCACATGAAGCCCTATCCCTAGCTGAGGAGCTATTGCCAATTAATGGCTACTGAGGTGGGAGAGTAATTTTTCTTCAGGGGTGTAGCCACTGGTAAATTGCCCATGATCCAGTAAACAACCCTGCACCCCTGTGCATGCAAAAAAAAAAAAAAAACGTAATTAAACCAGGGACATATACTAGGGACTCAACGTGGGTCTGGGGCATCAGGCATGTGCACCCCAATGTACCTGGCTGGCTCCATAGGGTTAGGAGAGCTTATGGGATGCATGACCATGTTGCTAAGGGAAGAGGAGCAACATGAAGAGCACTTCCAACTGGAACACTAAGTTCACCAAGGAAGCAGTTTGAGAATTTCCCTGAGTAGCTCAATTTAGTTTCTTCAAAAAATATCCTACAGGGGGCTAGAGAGATGGCTCAGTGGTTAAGAACACTGGCTGCTCTTATAGAGGACCTGGATTAGATTCCCTGCTCCCACATGGCAGCTAACAACTGTTTGTAACTCCAGTTCCAGGGGATCTGACACCCTTTTCTGACCTTCACAGACATGGCATAACACAGATGCACTTACTTATGTGCAGGCAATACACTAATACACATAATAAAATAGTAAAAAAGTAAAAAGTTTTAAAAACATCCTACAGCTGGTGTGGTGGCCCACGCCTTTAGTCCCAGCAGTCAGGAGGCAGAGGCAGGCGGATCTCTGTGCAAGGTCAGCCTGGTCTACATAGTGAGTTCTAGGCCAGTTGGGGCTACATGGAGCCCCTGTGTCAAAAAGATAAATAAAAAATCCTACAGCTCCAGTGAGATTGTTTAGTGGGTAAGGGCTCTTGCCACTAAGCCTGACAATCTTAGTTCAATCCCTGAAATCCACACATGGAAAAAGAGAACTGACTCCCACAAGTTGTCCTCTGACCTCCAAATGTGTGCTTATGAGCACGTGCATGCACACACGCATGCACACACACACACACACACACACACACACACATAGAGACTGTTAAATAAGTGTAATTTTAAAATTTTTTAAATTTTTAAAAATATTTTGTTATTTTTATTTTATGTGTATGCACGTATTGCCTGTATGTAGGTAAGTGCACCCGTGTTGTGCAATGCCTGTGGAGGACAGAAGAGACTGTTGGATCCCTTGGAACTGGAGTTACAGACAGTTGTTAGCTGCCATGTGGGTGCTGCGATTCAAACCCAGGTCTTCTGCAAGAACAGTCAGTGTTCTTAACCACTGAGCCATCTCTTCAGCCCAAATTTTTTTTAAATCTTAAGCCAGGTATGGTAGCACACCCCTGCAATCCCAGCTCATGGGAGGTGGAAGCAGAAGTAACAGGAGTTTAAGGTCATCACCTGCTACATAGTGACTTTAAGGCTAAATTGGATTACATGAAACTGTCTCCAGCAAGTTACCATCTTAGACCTCTCTAAGGAGTGCTGGGTACTATTGGCTCTGTTGGAAGTTGTCTTTCACAGGGAGTGTAAGCTGGGGTGACCGTTGACAATGTGTTCTAGAAATGACACCCTGGCAGGAGACAGGGCTCAAAGTAGTCCCCAACTGGCTCTGAAAGAAAGAGGGCATGGCTGGGCATGGCAGCACACTCCTTTAATCACAGCACTTGGGAGGCAAAGGCAGGCTTATCTCTGTGAGTTAGGGGCTATCATGGTCTACATAGCGAGTTCCAGGATGGCCAGGGTTACACAGTGAAACCCTGTCTCAAAAAAACCAAAAAGAAAAGGGGTAACAGCATGCAGATGGGGTGAAGCAGAAACCCAGGGGCAGTAGTGTCACAGGGTGAGAAGAAGCCTTGGTGCTGCCCAGAGTCCTACAGCAGCCCGTCCTCATAAGGCAGAGAGGCCAGCAGTGCATTCCCCATCCTCCCCACTGCTAGTCGACTGGATGATGGAGTCCTGTGGTCAACACTTGCTGGGCATCATCTGAAAACCAAGTCCACTGCAGACATTGGGACACCAGCCAGGACAGAGATGTGGCATTGCTTGTAGAGATGATCACACTGCAGGGGAAGAAGGTTTAAGTATAACACAAGGGGATCTGTCCATGGTGAGGGAGTCAGAGACAGGAAGTGGGGAGGGTCTATTCTACCGCAAGCACAAGATGGAGCTGGAGATTGAAGGGAAAAATGTGAGCCTCAGGGTCTGGAGAGATGGCTCAGCAGTTAAGAACACTGGTTGTTCTTGCAGAAGACCCAGGTTCGAATTGCAGCACCCACATGGCAGCTAACAACTGTCCATAACTCCAGTTCCAGGGGATCCGACAGCCTCTTCTGTCTTCCATGAGCATTGCATAACACAGGTGCACTTACCTACATGCAGGGATAACACTCATACACATAAAATAAAAATAATAAAACATTTAAAAAATTTTTTTAATGTGAGCCCCAGATGAGAAGGTAAGAGAGGGCTTTCCAGGCAGAGGGTGCCTCACAGGCAAAGGCAGGGAGGTATCAGAGGAAAACCAAGGCAAGGGAATGAGGTCAGGCCCTGGTGACAGGGTCTGGGAAGGGTGCACACTATGTTACACAGAGCAGATAAGCACAGAAGATAAGGCTCCTTTGAGTCAAGACTTCACTGAGTCTCCTTGAGGCACCCCTATATAGGGGTTCCCCCTCACCTCCACTTGGGGTCTCACTGTCGCATTGGACAAATGGTAGGGCCAGGGGGTGAGAGCCAAGCCATCTGTGCTGGATAGCTTTGATTGTCAACTTGACACACCTGGCTAGGGGGCACCTCAATTGGGGAATTTCCCCCATTGGACTGGCCTGTGGCCATGTCTGGGGTATTTTCTTGATTATTGAGTGATGTGGGAAGGCCCCACCCACGGTGAGTGGTGCCACCCCTGGGCTGGTGGTCCAGTGTTGTATAAAAAAGCAGGTTGAGCTGGACATGGTGGTACATGCCTTTTTAGTCCCAGCACTTGGGAGGCAGAGGCAGGCAGATCTCTGTGTGTTCAAGGCCAGCCTAGTCTACATAGCAAGTTCCAGGACAGCTGGAGTTACAGGGAGACCCTAGACAAGAAAGAAGGAAAGGAAGGAAGGAAGGGAGGGAGGGAGGGAGGGAGGGAGGGAAAGAGAGAAAGAAAAAGAGGAAGGAAGGAAGGAAAAAAAAAGAAGGAAGGAAGGAAGGAAGGAAGGAAGGAAGGAAGGAAGGAAGGAAGGAAGGAAGGAAGGGACCAGTAAGCAGCGTTCCTCCACACATGGTGTGTGCTTCAGCTATGCATCTAAGTGCCTGCCCTGAGTTCCTACCTTGGGTTCCCTCACAATGAACTGTGACCCAGGAGATGTAAGATGAAATAAACCTTTCCTCCCCAAGTTGGTATTGGTCAGAATGTTTTGTCACAGCAATTGAAGACAAAATAGAACACCATCCTTTAGAGATGAGCAGATGGGTGTCCTGTCAAGAAGTTCTATGACCCATTCCTGGCCAGAATGAGCTTCAGGAAAGGCCCTATGTCTACTAGACATACCGCCCCTGGGGGTCAGGAGACAAGGTTCTAGTTCCGCACAGTACTAGTTCATTGTGAGACTTTGAATAAGTCACTTAAGAGCTAGGCATGGTGTTGCACACCTATGATCCTACCACTCAGGCAGCTGAGGTAGGAAGAATGCTAGTTCAAGGTCAACCTAGGCTACAGAGTGACCTATCTAGACCTCAGTTTTTCCATCTGGTTCATGGTATTATTTTAAAATTATTTCTCTCTCTCTCTCTCTCTCTCTCTCTCTCTCTCTCTCTCTGTCTGTCTCTGTCTCTCCACATGCATACCATGGCACACAGGTAGAGGTCAGAGGAAAGACTGCAGGAGTTGGTTCTCTCTTTCTACCATGAGGGTCCCAGGGATTGAACTTAGGTTGTCAAGTTTGGTGGCAAGTGCCTTTACTGCTGAGCCATCTTGCCAGCCTTCATGGTATTCTTGATTCTCTAGGCTTGAAACCACTTAATAAGGAATCTATCTATGGACCAGGGGCATCTATAAGTAAGGTTCCAAAGTAAAAACTCTGTAAGTGCTGTCAAAGCCTGCAGCCTCTCTGAGCCCCAGGAACACATCTGTGGTCTAACAAGCTGAGGAGGGAGTTGATTGGTTGGTTGGTTGGTTCCTTTTTTGTTGGTATTTTATTTTATTTTCTTCCTCCTCCTCCCCCTCCTCCTCCTCCACCTTCTCCACTTCTTCCTCCTCCCCATTCTTTCTTCTTTGACACAGGGTCTCCCTGTAGCCCCAAGCTAGCCTTGAACTCACAGAGATCCTGCCTGCCTCTGCCTCCGAAGTGTTGGGATTAAAGATATTTTAAATACTTTATTATTTTTTATTTTATGTGTATGAGTGTATTGCCTGCATATATGTAGGTGGACCCATGTCATGCAATGCCCATGGAGGTCAGAAGAAGGCATCAGATTCCCTGGAACTGTAGGAGTCTCCATGTGGGTCATGGGAATCGAACCTGGGTCCTCGGCAGGAGTAGTCAGTACTCTTAACCACTGAGCCGCCTCTCCAGCCCTTAAAGGCATTTTTAATGTCCAGTTTTTCTTCTTTTTGTGTGTGTGCACTAGAGATTGAAACTAGAGATCTGTGCTAGGTAAGTGCTCTACCACTGAGGTTTATTTCCATCCCAAACGAGGTAGGTTCGTTGCTCATTGCAACAAGGGAGAATGTAACTGGGGGACTGTGGAATGTTAAGGTGTTAGAGTTTATAGGATTTAGGCTTATGTTAGGTGATTAGGAAGAAGGTCTTCTCTCTCAGTGTGTGTGTGTGTGTGTGTGTGTGTGTGTGTGTGTGTGTGTATTGCTGGGAATGGAACCCAGGGCCTCACAGGTGTCAAGCAAGTGCTCTATCACTCAGTTACATCCTCAGTGGAGTTTTGGTTTGTTTGCTTGATTGATTGATTTAGTTGGTTAATAGGTTAGTTTTATGAAAAAGAGTCTAACCCTGAACTTAATAGCCCTCCTGCTTTAATCTCCTGAATGTTGGAATTACAGACATTTACCACAACACCTGGTTGTTGTTGTTTTTTTAAACATTCTGCACTCTTAAAGATTTTATTTTTTATTTTATGTGTATAAATGTTTTGTCTGCATGTATATAAGTGCAACCATGTGTACAATGCCCAAGGAGGCCAGAAGAGGAGGGCATCAGATCCCCTGGAACTGGAGTTATGAATGGTATGGATAGTTGTTAGCGGCCATATAGGTGCTGGGAACTGAACCAGGGTCTTCTGCAAGAGCAGCCTCTCCAGCCCCTCAAACTGTTTCTTTAGATGGGATTTTGCTATGTTTCCCAAACTGGTCTTGAATTCCTGAGCAAAAGAACCCCCCTAACTGGGCATTGTGGCACATGCCTGTCATCTCAGCAGTTAGGAAGCTGAGGCAGGTGAATCTATATTGAGTTTGAGATCAGCCTGGAATGACATAGTGAGTTGGAGGCCAGCCTGGGCTATATACCAAAACCGTGTGTGTGTGTGTGTGTGTGTGTGTGTGTGCCAGCCACAGTTCTAGAACTTTAGGCAGACATGCTAAGGAATGTCACAGAGACCACCCTCACAGTGCTGTCCACCACAGCAGGAAGACAGAGACAGACAGAGAGATACAGAGAGAGGAGAGAGAGAAAGAGAGAGAGAGAGAGAGAGAGAGAGAGAGAGAGAGAGAGAGAATCCTCCTGTCTCAGTCTCTTGAGTAGCTGGCACCATGACCAGTCCAGACAAGAGTTTAAAGATTTACTCTGAATCTGATAGGGGTAAATCTATGACTGCGTACCTCAATAAATCATATCCAGGACAAAGACTACAGAGGAAGCTAAAGCTGTAATTGGTAGTTAGGCTGCTTCTTAGCCAGGTTGGGGTTCTGGGGTTTGACCTCTACAGTGGTAAAGCACTTGATTAGCACACACAAGACCCTGGGTTCCACCTCAAGTACTGTAAGAAAAATAAAACAAAACATATCAACTGGATTAGGGGGAATATTTTTTTATTTATTTTTATTTTTTATTTTTATATTTTATGGTATGAGTGTTTTGCCTGCATGTATGTAAATGCACCCATGTCATGCAAAGCTCTTGGAGGCCAAAAGAGGGTGTCAATCCTTGGAACTGGAGTTATGGATAGTTGTTAGCTGCCATATGGGTTCTGGGAATTGAACCCACATCCTCTGGAAGAGCAACCATTGCTCTTAACCACTGAGCCATTTCTCCAGTCCCCGATTTTTTTTAGATAGGGTCTCACTGTGTAGCTCTGCTAGGTTAGAACTCACTATGTAGATCAAGTTGGTCTCAAATTCATGGAGATCCACCTGTCTCTGGCCCCCAAGTGCTGGGACTAAAGGTGTGCAGCACCATGTCCTACTGGTCACTTATTTTGTTTAGACAATGTTCATTTTTTTTTCGGTTTTTTTGAGACAGCGTCTCCCTGTAGGCCCAGCTGGCCTGGAACTCACTATGTAGACGAGGCTGGCTTTGAACTCACAAAGATCTGCCTGCCTCTGCCTCCGGAGTGCTGGGATTAAAGGAGTGCACCACCACGCCCAGCCAATGTTCATTTATTTATCTGTGTTCAGACAAGATTACAGACTGATCTTGACTTTGGTTTTTTGTTGTTGTTATTGTTGTTGTTTTGTTTTGTTTTAATTTGTATGAGTGTATTGTCTGCATGTAAGTGCATCCACATCATGGAATGCCCACAGAGGTTAGAAGAGGGCATCGGATTACCTGGAACTGGGAGTTACAGATGGTTGTTGGCAGCCATGTGGGTACTGGGAACCAAATCTAGGCTTTCTGCAAGAGCAGCCAGTGTTCTTAACCACTGAGCCATCTTTATAGCCCCCTGATCTTGTTTTTATGTTGATCTGTCATTGTTCCAGAGAAGTCTTGGGATATCTGGGCTTCTGCAGAAAAACAAATGCTTAATTTCTAAAGATGGCTGTAGCTCAGAGGCTTTTTATTGGAGTCCAAGGCCTTGTGTATGCCAGGCAAGTGGTCTATCATCTAGCTATAGCATCGGCTCCTGGATAGGCTTTGAGTCAAATATGTTTGTCCCCAGATGGGCTCTTGGGTTACTTACCACATCAGAGCCTCAGGTGCTGTCTCTGTGGTTGGCTCCTATGGCAACATGAAGTGCTGTGTGGGAGGGTGTAACCACCAGTCAAAGTTTCAACAATGTGATAATCACTCTGTAAAAACAAAACTGTAAAATTAAAGCCCTCAACCTTAAAACCAACACAGACTATTAGATGGCAGCCAGAAAGAACCTTAAAACCAACACGACTATTAGATGGCAGCCAGAAAGACTGGTTTTGAGCTGGTGAAATGGTTCAGTAGATAAATGTGCTTGCCCTGCAAAGTCTGCCCTCGATTGTTTGATCCCGAGAATGCACATAAAGGTGAAGGGAGAGAACTGACTCCACAAAGTTGTCCTCTGACCTCCACATGAACACTATGGCAGCATGCTCCGCCACCATGCAAACACACAGTAATTGCTTTATTAAATAATAAAAGACTAGTTTCTGTTGATCATGGTGGGGAATACCTGTAACCCCAACTCAGTAGGCAGAGGATCTCAACTGCAAAGCCAGTCTGGACTACTATAGCAACACATTGTTTGAAGAAACCAAGAGCTAGGAATGTGGCTCAATGTTGGAGTGCTTGCCTAGCATATTCAAGGCCCTGGGTTCAATACCAACACCCAAAAAAAGAAAAGCAAAGAGCAAGAAACACGTGTAATAGAAGCCAAATACAGTTAGTATGCATCCGTGCTCATCTTGGGAAGCTGAGGCAAGAGGATTTCTTAAGCTCAGGAAGTCAAGTCCAAGTTGAGTAACATAGATGCTTTCTTATAATAAGTAGAGATTGTTGGGTATAGTGGCACACATCTTTAATCCCAGTTAATAGAGGCCAGTCAGGGCTACTACATAGTGAAACCCTATCTTAAAAAAAAAAAAAATTAGAGCCGGGTGTGGTGACACACACCTTTAGTCCCAGCATTCAGGAGGCAGAGGCAGGCGGATCTCTATGAGTTCAAGGCCAGCCTGGTCTATATAGTGAGTTCAAAGCCAGCTGGGGCTGAGAGACCCTGTCTCAAAATGACCAAAAAAAGAAAATGGATGGGAATGAGATGAAAGAAAAGGTACAAGCCAGGTGTGGTGGTGCACGCCTTTAATCCCAGCACTGCAAGGCAGAGGCAGGTGGATCTCTGTGAGTTCAAGGCCAGCCTGGTCTACATAGCAAGTTCTAGGCCAGCTGAGGCTACAGGGAGACCCGGTCTCAAAAAGACTGAAAAAGAAAGATGAAAGACAAAGAGAAAGAAGAAGGAAAGAAGGAAAGAAAGAAAGAAAGAAAGAAAGAAAGAAAGAAAGAAAGAAAGAAAGAAAGAAAGAAAGAAAGAAAGAAAGAAAGAAAGAAAGAAAGAAAGAAAGAAAGAAAGAAAGAAAGAAAGAAAGAAAGAAAGAAAGAAAGAAAGAAAGAAAGAAAGAAAGAAAGAAAGAAAGAAAGAAAGAAAGAAAGAAAGAAAGAAAGAAAGAAAGAAAGAAAGAAAGAAAGAAAGAAAGAAAGAAAGAAAGAAAGAAAGAAAGAAAGAAAGAAAGAAAGAAAGAAAGAAAGAAAGAAAGAAAGAAAGAAAGAAAGAGAAAAAAGAAAAAGAAAGAAAGAAAAAGAAACTTGTGATCCCAGTACTTGAGAGATAGAGGCAGAAGGATTAGGAGCTCAATATTATCCTCAGCTATGTAGCAAGTTCAAGGACAGCCTGAGCTACATGAGACCCTGTCTCAAAAAATAATATATAATGTATAACTAAGTAAATAAAAGGGACAGAATGCCATGGCACACATCTGCAATCTCAGGATTAAGGAGGCAGAGGCAGGAGGATTGTCACAAGTTTCAGACCAGCCAGGGCTACATAGCAAGACACTGTCTCAACCCACCCCCACAAAATATTCTAGTTGTGGTGTCATGGCCCTGCAATCCCAGCACTAGAGGTGGAGGCAGGAGGATCATGAGTTCAAGGTCATCTTTAACTATATAGTGAGTTTGAGGCCAGCCTGAATTAGGAGACCCTGTCTCAAAACACCAAGAAGAAAAAGGAGGAGGAAGAAGAGAAGAAGGGAGAAGAGAAGGGGAAGGAGGAGAGGGAAAGGGGGAGGGGGAGGAGGAAGAGACACTTCATTTTTTGATCTGATTCTGCTTTATGAAACCATCTGAATGTTTCACATATTTTAAAAATAAAATCAACATTTGAGGCCAGCCTGGTCTCCATAGTGAATCCAGGACAGCTGGAGCTACAGGGAGACCCTGTCTCAAAAAGTCTAAATAAATAAATAAATAAATAAATAAATAAATAAATTCAACAAAGATGAAGGGAAGTTACTATTAGTGGGAATATTAAATGGTGCAGCAGCTGTGGAAAACAATATGGGGCTTCCTCAAAAAATTAAAAAAAGAACTACCATATTATCCAGCAAGCCCACTACTGGGATTCCAAAAGATTGAAGGTGGGGACACAAAGAAATATTTGCAAACTCATCTTCATAGCAACCGGCATTGTTCATACTGCCCCTAAAGTAGAAGCAACCTACATGTCCTTCAATGGATGAATGGATAAGCAAGATGTGGTGTAGACTTCTGATGGATATGGTCCAGCTTAAAACTGGAAAAGGAAAGTCAGCATTATACTAAGTAAAATAAACCAGTCACAAAAGTACAATACCATATGGTTCCATGGGGTGATTAAGAGTAGTCAAAATTTCTTAGACAGAGGGCTGGAGAGATGGCTCAGCAGTTAAGAACACTGACTGTTCTTGCAGAAGACCGGAGTTCATATCCCAGCACCCACGTGGCAGCTCGCAACTGTCCATGACTCCAGTTCCAGGGGATTTGACAGCCTCTTCTGTCCTCCTCGGGCATTGCACAACATGGGTGCACTTACTTAGATGCAGGCATAACATTCATATACATAAAATAAAAATAATAAATAATAAATATTTTTTAAAAATTCTTGGACAGAAAGTACAATGGGAATTGCCAGTGCTGGAGGGTAGTGATGTCAGGAATCAGTGTTTAATGGGTATGGAATTGTAGTTGGGGAAGATGAAGAATTCTGAAGATGGATGGTGACGTGGGTTGCACAACAAATATGAGTGTGCTTAATGCCACTCAACTGTATACTTAGAAATAATTAAGGTAGTCAATTTTATGTGGATTTATTTTGCCACAATTTAAAAAATTATGACCAGGCATGATGCTGCACACCTAGAATCCCAGCACTGTGGAAGCTGAGGCAAGAGGATCATAAATTCAAGGCTGACCTGGCCTATATAGCAAAACCCTGTCTCAAAAAAACTTATGTTCACCAGGCGTGATGGTGCATATCTTTAATCCTAGCACTCAGAAGGCAGAGGAAGGTGGATCTCTGTGAGTTCAAGTCCAGCCCAGTCTCAAAAAAAAAAAAAACTCAAAATAACAAAATCCCAGGATGTTCAGTAAGACTGGGGGCGTAGCTCAATGGTAAAGCACTCAGCTAGCATACAAAGTCCTGAGTTCCATTCCCAGGATTGAAAAAGAAACTGTGCTCAGTGAAAGAAAAACATATAAAGAAGGCAGAGACAGGTGGCTCTCTGTGAGTTCAAGGCCTGCCTGGACTACAGAGCAAGTTCCAGGTCAGCTGGGGCTACAGGGGGACCCTCTCTCAAAAAGACAAAAAAAATTATATATACATATATGATCACAAACTGCATGACTCCTCTATCCGTCAGGGTTCTCTAGAGAAACAGAAATGATAGAATGAATAGATATTACAAAAGGGCATTTATTAGATTGCCTTACAGGATATGGGCTGGTAGTCTAATAATTGCTATCTTCATAATGGAGAGGCTGAGAATCCAGTGGCTGCTGATTCTACAAGGCTGGATGACTCAGCAGTCCCAATGTGGTACTGAAGGCCTACAGGATTCCTGGAGAGCTGCTGGTCTTTGGTCCACGATGGCAGTGTTGGCGGCGGTGGTGGTGGCAGCGAGGAGGAGGAGGGGGAGAAGGGGGAGGAGGGGGGGAATAAGGAGGGGAGGAGGAGGAGGAGGAGAGGGAGAAGGGAGGAGGAGGAGGAGGAGGAGGAGGAGGATAGACCTGCTTACCAACGAGAAGGCAGGCAAGCAAGCAGGACTGCTTTTTCCTCAGACCTCTTCATATCTGATCTTCCCCCGCCTTCAGTTAATCCTTCCAGGAAATGCCCTTACAGACCTAGCCAGAGACTTATCTCTTATTTGATCCCAGATTCAATCAAGTTAACAACTAAGATTAGCCATTACAACTCCCTTATATAAAATATCAAGAAAAAACAAATATATAGACAGCAAGTAGTTAGTAGTGGCCTATGTTGCCAGGGGGAGACGAGAATTGACTGTCAATGAGCATAAAGTTTCTTTGGAGGCAAGTGAAATGTCCTAAACTTAGAATATGGTAATTTTTTTCTTGTGCTGTGGATTGAACCTAGGGCTGCACATTTATTAGGCAAGTGCTCTACCACTGAGCTACATCCCCAGCTCTGCCAACCAACCCTTTTAATTTTGAGACAGGGCTTCACTAAATTGCCCAGACTGGCCTTGAACATTCCATCTTCCTGCCTCAGCCTCCAGAGTAACTGTGATAACAGGCTTGTACCACAAGGCCTTACTAAATTGTGGTAATTTAAAACAATTTTTATTACATTTATTTTTTATTTATGTGTGTGTATGTGTGGTGTGTGTATGTGTGTATGTGTGTGCGTGCATGTGTGTGTGTGTAGGTCAGAGAACTACTTACTTGGTTATCTTCTCCACTGAGTGAGACTCAGCAAACTCAGGTAGTTAAGATTGGCAGTAAGTCCTTTTACCCACTGAACCATCTTGCTGGCTCCATTGTGGTTAATTTTCACAGAAGTCTGTAGATAATACTATCATTGCTGTGGAGGGGGGTAACTTACCCTAACATAGGTGAATTTTATGTTATGGAAATAATAATTCAAGAAAACTTTGCCTCAGGTGCTGGGCAGGACCTCATGAATACTAAGCACATAATACCAATGAACTATCCCTCAGCGACCTTCAATTAAGCCATTAAAAAAAAACAGGGGCGGGGGCTGGAGAGATGGCTCAGTGGTTAAGAACACTGACTCTTCTTGCAGAAGACCCAGGTTCGAATCCCAGCACCCATATGGCAGCTAACAACTGTCCATAACTCCAGTTCCAGGGGATCCAACAGCCTCTTCTCTCCTCTGTGGGCGGACATTGCGCGACACGGGTGCACTTACATATATGCAGGCATAACACTCATACACATAAAATAAAAATAATAAAATATTAAATAATTATAACAATAATAATATTTAAAATAAAAAATAAAGAGGACCAGGCATGGTGGTGCATGCCTTTAATCCCAGAACTCCAGAGGCAGAGGCAGGTGGATCTCTTTAAGTTTGAGGCCAGCCTGGACTACATATAGAGCTCCTAGTCAGCCAGGGCTACATAGTAAGACCCTGTCTCAAAAATAAATAAATAAATAAAATAAATAAATAAATAAATAAATGTACTGAGCACAGCAGTTACCTAGACTGCATTGCCATATTCCCCTCCCAGCGCTGGAGAGAGTGAACACCACATATTCTAGATGTGAAATAGCTCACTATTGCACTGTTGCTTTATTTTTCATTTCTCTGAAAACTAATCTTTTTACATATGTATAGTCTATGAACATTTCAGATATCCTCTGCTGTGAATTACCTATTTGTTTATATTTTTCGGTCTTTTTGAGACAGGGTCTCCCTGTAGCCCCAGCTGGCCTGGAACTCACCGTGTAGACCAGGCTGGCCTTAAACTCAGAGAGCTCCACCTGCCTCTGCCTCCCAAATGCTGGGATCAAAGGTGTGCACCACCACTGCTGGTAAGAGTAAAGAATTTGATATCTGTGTATCTAGCTAATGTAATTATTCTCTTCTCTTTTTCTTTCTTTTTTTATTCAGTCTTTTTGAGACAGGGTCTCCCTGTATTCCCAACTGGACTGGAACTTACAATGTAGACCAGGCTGGTCTCCATCTCACAGAAGTCTGCCTGCCTCTGCCTCCCAAGTGCTGGGATTGAAAGTCTGCATCACCATGCCTGGCTTTAATGTTATTCTTATATATGTACATACACATATACCCATTTTATTAGTTTTCATTTGTAAACATGCATATTAATTTATGTGCTATAATCCATTTGTATTAATGTTAAAAATACATGGACTGGACAGATAGTTCAGTGGTTAAGAGCACTGATTGCTCTTGCAGAGGACCAGGGTTCGATTCCCAACCACATGGCGGCTAACAACCGTACATAACTCCAGTTCCAGGGGAATCCGACGCCTTCTTCTGACCTCTGCAGGCATTGCAGGACACGGGTGCTCTTACACACGAAAAAATATTAACAATAAAATTAAAAAATAATAAAATATTTTTTTAAAAATAAAAAGCTCAGTGGCACAAGGCCCTAGGTTGCAGTCTCAAACTAGAGATGGCCGGGGAGGGGAGAGAAGGTGAGAGAGAAAGAATTTCTCTTCAATTGCCATTGGTATTTCCAAGTCAAGAACTGCTAATCTCACCCTTTTGTTTACCAGAAGGGACACCACCCAGGGTAAGTGGGCATGATTTCCTGAACTCTTTACAGCTAGGCATTAATCTTATTAGAACCTATTTTCCTTAGCTCCTGGGGCCAAGATGAGGTCGAGCTTGATCTGCACATGTTTCTCCCTCCATATTCAGAGCTAAGCACCTCAATGCTCCTTTGGAAAAATGGGCCCTTCTTGGGAGATTGGAGACTTCAGCACTCTAGGAATAGAGTGAAATGCCCACAAACTACAGAGTAGGGTCAGTAGAAATCAGTGTGCCATCAACCTTTAGTGTTGGTGTAGAGGCTAATACAGATCTTTATTGGGGTCAATTATTTTTTAGTTCATTTTGTGCTGTTTTTTATTTTTTTTTTACTGAATTTTTGTGTATTTCATACAGAACTTTTTTTGTTGTTGTTCTTTTTTGAGACAGGGTCTCCTTGTAGCCCCAGCTGGCCTGGAACTCACTATGTAAACCAGGCTGGCCTTGAACTCAGTGATCTGTCTGCCACCAGTCCAGCATACAGAACATCTTAATCATCTTTATACCCCTCCCCATTGGGCCCCTCCCGTACCCCGCTTTTTTTTTTTTTTTTTTTTTTTTTTTTGAGGCAGGGTGTCCTTGTCCAGCTGGCCTGGAACTCACTATGTAGATCCGCCTGCCTCTGCCTCGGGAGTGGTGGGATTAAAGGTTTGTGCCCCACCATGCCTGGCTACATTCTGTCTTTTGTGTTAAGGCCTATCATATCAAGTTAGTGTCTCCAGATGTCCCTTGGTGCAAGTTCATCCACTGAGGTCTAAGTCAACCTAGAGTCCCTCCCTTTAAGAGGTTCAGTTCTTCCTCATAGGGTCAATTTTTGGGGAGGGTCAATTTTTTAAGCACTTGGTCTCCTAGTTCACAGGAACACTAAATATCGCTTGAGGTCACCTTCTTTGCGGGGGTCCAGCCTGGTGGGGAATAAAGCAAGCAGATCAGTTAATGATGAACCAAATGCTCACAGCTAGCCCTTAGGGGACGTGTGTTCCTAGGGGTCATAGTCATTATCTATAAATGAAACTATCCTGGCTGGTCCTTGAGGGTGGGGAAGGCTGGAAATTCCTTGGGATTCCTCAAGAGATGGGAAAGGATGAACCTTGGTTTATTTTTCCGACGGGGACACGGGTCACAGCAACGTCTAATGGAAGTACAGGGGTGAGCATTTGGTTACAAGAGGGGCTTGCACCCTCCCCTTATATTTCCCACCTCAATTCCCAAGGATTACAAAATAACCATTAGGAAGATTTTTTTCCCCCTCGGAAGATTAGAAAATCTCCCGTCTCGCATATTCCAGACCTGGACCAGCAACCGCCCGAAAAAGTGCAAGCGAACCATCTGCGTGCCTACGTGCTCCTGCACCCCGCGCCCCTCAACCCTGCAGTTCCTCCTGTGGCTCACTCCTTCTGCCCCCCGCCACCGCCCCGCTCCCATCCTCTGATTGGACAAACCCGTCCGCTGGCCCGCCCCTGGATTTAAAGGGCCCGCTCCGCCTCGCCGCCCTGGAAGCCGCTTCTGGTCCCGGCCTTGCGGCCTGCGGGGGAAGGTCCCCGGAGGAGGTGACGGTAGCAGCGACCCGCGTCCCTGGCCCCCAGGACCACGGCTTCCTTCCTACCAGGTAGGTCTCTAGTACTGTGTGTGCGGCTCCCGCGTTCACATCCTTAAGCTGGCCTCTCGGCGCGGATCTATAATAGCTCTAGTCCTGGGACCTCGTCCACATCACCTTTCAGACTCTCTCCCTGCTATGTCCCCTACCAACAATTACACTTCCCTGCAGTCCCTGGACCAGAACAGGGCCTTGTTGGCAGCTTTTGGCCGAGTGTGGGTGAGATGGGGTTCGGGAAGGATACATCCATACAAGGAGAGATGCACACGGCCCCTAAGTGTCACAGACTCCCCCTTCTCTGCTTTACACAGTGAGTGACTCTACCTTGAAAACCAAAGAGCTCACTTCCTTTCCCCACTTGATATAAAGGTTTAAAATGCACATCATTATGCCACGTGTGGTGGCTCATACCTTTAATTCCAGCACTTGGGAGACAGAGACAGGCTGATCTCGATGAGGTCAAGGCCAGCCTGGTCTATATAGTGAGTTCTAGACCAGCTGTGGATACAGGGGGACCCTGTCCCCTAAAAAAGAATGCACATCATTCTGTCATCACTAGGCTGAACTGTTCACAGAATTCAAGACACGTGGGTCTTTCACTGTTGGTCACAGATCATCCAAAAAACCCACTAAGTCACAGTTGGTTGCTCATGTTGTACTTGATATTCACATCCTCCCCTAACCCTCCCAATACCAGCTGAGATTTCGGCAGCTCAGAGCTGGTCTTGAGTGCTGGAGTCGAAGCCTTGAGCAAGGGTAAGCTCTGTGTCCTCTCTTTGGCAGATCCATCTGTCCATCTGTCTGTGGGGGGTCCACAATGGCCACCTTTAGCCGCCAGGAATTTTTCCAGCAGCTGCTGCATGGCTGCCTCCTGCCTACTGTCCAACAGGGCCTTGACCAGATCTGGCTGCTCCTTGCCATCTGCTTTGCCTGCCGCCTCCTTTGGAGGCTCGGTAAGTGCCTGCCACACTGTGTTCCACCACATCAGATTTTATCTTATCTGTCACATTCGTGATACCATGCTCTACTGTACCCTGCCACATCCTGCCATGGCACTCCCTGTCATGCCAAATCAGGCCCCAGCAGGCCAAGCCCTACTACATCACAGTAGTCTAAGCCCTATTCCACCACACATCCTTTATGCCCTGCCACCTCATGCCACACCATGCCAAGCCACATCCTGGTAAACTAAGTCATGACCTTCAGCATTCCTGCATTCTGAATCTTGGGATCCTGATATGCCTATGTTCCCAGATTATAAGATTTTGGAATGCTGATGTCACAAAGTTATAGAAACCCAAAGAACCACAATTACAAGGTTTGGAGTGTGACAAATTGAAATTCTCACATTCTGGGCTTCCAAAATGTTGACTTTCTAGAATGATTTCTATAGTCAGATCATGATAAAATTAATGGATTCTGTAATGTTTCCACAATCATAGCAGGTTTATATCCAAATGATGAGGTTCCAAATCTCCAGCATTCCTACAGGATGCAGAGATTTCTGAAAATCAAAGGTTCTCCTCTTTCTGTTTCCTTTCTACCTTAAGTGGATGCTTTCTTTTTCCCCAATTTTATTATTTTGGTATATTTCAAAGCTACTGAAAAGTGGCAAGAACTGTACAATGAAAACCCATATATGAATCATCAGATTCTCCAACAGTTCACATTTTTCCACATTAGCTTGCTTTATCTTTCTGTCTGTTCCTCTATCCGTCATCTACTGAATCATTTCAATAACCTGCTGATATCATAACACTTCACCTAAAGTCCTTCAATGTATTGCCCTTGAGAACAAAAACATCCTTCACCAAAGCTGTACCCATTACCCCCTCCACATGTGCGTGCGCGCACGCACGCACACACACACACACACACACACAATTTTACTCTGGAAGCAAATTATTCAATATAAGTTGATATTTCTTCTTTCAGAGTCCCCAAAATGTCCTTAATAGGTGTCCCTTTTCTTTAAATCCAGACCCTGCCACTCTTGCCAATTCCCCAATACCAGGTTTGGACTCCTTCAATCTCATCACATTCTAGGCCTTTGCCCAGGCTGGGCTCTGTTGCCTAGGTCCTCTTCCCCTTCCTACCAGCCTACCAACCTCCCCTTTCTTGTTCTCCCTCCCTCCCTGTCTCAGCTTTTTCTCTTTCTCACCCTAGGGTTGCCGTCCTACCTGAAGCATGCAAGCACCGTGGCAGGTGGCTTCTTCAGCCTCTACCACTTTTTCCAGTTGCACATGGTTTGGGTTGTGCTGCTGAGCCTCCTGTGCTACCTCGTGCTGTTCCTCTGCCGACACTCCTCCCACCGAGGCGTCTTCCTCTCTGTCACTATCCTCATCTACCTGCTCATGGGGTATGGGTGTGCGTCCTCATTCTCACCCAGTTGGCAAAAGGCAGGCGGGTCCCGGTTATCCTGATGAAGTGGTGCAGGACAGGGACAGTGTGATATTCTAAAGAGAAGGAAAGGACTTAAGGACAGTCATTCTATGAGGCGATACCAAACAGGGAGGGTGTGAAGTGCTCCTGAAGAAGAGGCCCCTGGACATTTCTCCCTTCATGAGACTGTACAGGACAGGTTGGGCATGGGCTGCCCCTGGAGGAAGGGAGCCTAGGGGAATGTTTCCTTCATGAGTTGTACAAGATGGGAAGAGAGAACCCCTTCAACACCTTAGTGCCTCCCCCATTCCATGGTGTCTAAAGCCTTGGGGGCTGTGGGGCCAAGACCATCACCTTTTTTCCTCAGTGAGATGCATATGGTGGACACCGTGACATGGCACAAGATGCGAGGTAGGTAGCTCTGCCCCAGCCGTCCTGTTCCCTCTTCATCTCCTAATTGCCTCCATCCTGACTCTCCTTTCCTACTTTTTTGCCCTCACAAATCACTACACAATGCAGGCCTCCCTCTTCCCTGGCAACTATGTCTCTTTCTACCTGTCCTTATATCCCCCTTTCCTCACACCTGTCACCTGGAACACCCCATCCCTCATGCTGACCTACTTTCTTGTTCATCCACTTGACCATGGGCCCCACACATTAGGGGCCCAGATGATCGTGGCCATGAAGGCGGTGTCTCTGGGCTTCGACCTGGACCGGGGCGAGGTGAGTGCAGTGCCCTCACCTGTGGAGTTCATGGGCTACCTCTACTTTGTGGGCACCATCGTCTTTGGGCCCTGGATATCCTTCCACAGCTACCTACAGGCTGTCCAAGGCCGCCCACTGGTGAGCTCCTGATTGGCCAGGTGGGCAGGGACTGTGGGAGCCGCCATGGGGCAGTGCTCATGGAGCCTTGATCCCACAGAGCCGCCGGTGGCTGAAGAAGGTGGCCTGGAGCCTGGCGCTGGCCCTGCTGTGCCTAGTACTGTCCACTTGCGTGGGTCCCTACCTCTTCCCCTACTTCATCCCCCTCGACGGTGACCGCCTACTTCGAAAGTGAGCACAGCCTTCAAGGCCCCTGCCTAGCAGTGAGGGGGATTGGGTAGGAGCCTGGGGTCTCCCCAACTCTGAGCCTGTCTCTTAATGCTTCTGTCTGTCTTCTGTTACTACAGCAAGAAACGCAAAGCCAGGTAAATGAGGGCAGGTGCTGAGGGCGAGTGGACTGACCAGGGCTGGGCCAAAGCCTTGGATCAATCGATTCTAGACATCTGAATCTATCTGACCGTCTACCTCATTGCCACACAGAGACCAAGTGTCTGACTATGGATGTCTGTTTGACCAAGATTGGCTCTGTGACTCCATGTATGACTGACACTCCAACACTACTATGTGTGGATTGTCCATCTGTTCCACTGTTTTACCATTAGAAACAAGTTATGTGACTGTAATGGGAAGTGGCAAGTGTGTATTATTTGGTGACTCTAATATGTCTGTGACTCCAGATAACAGGGTTGAGATGTTTGCCTGTAGCCACTGACTCCGAGTGTGGGATTGAATTGTGACTGGCTGAATGTGCATTGTCAGTGGTGGGCTGTGTAGCTGTCACTGGCTAGGGTAAAACTGGACTGATGATTCTGGCTTGTCTGTAGCTCTAGTCTGCTTGTAGCATATCATGTGCCTGTTTGTGATTGACTGTGCCAGTGTGTCTGCCTTCTCAGACTTCGTGGTACTATCTGACTGAGGGACTGAGCAGCTATAAGCCTATGCCTGTCTGTCTCTGGTTTGACACCAAGACTGTATCTAGCTGTTTTATTGTGTGACCCTCTTCCCCTACTCACTGGCTCCTTCATAAATTTGATGCTGAATGAGTCTCCAAAGGGTCAAGTGACTTGACCAGCCTCCCCAAGTTAAGCATCCAGGCCTAATTTCAGTGCCTATATGTTTTGCAATGCAGGACTCTGCCTGCTTTTGACAATGTCTGATTGTGAAACTGACCGTGTGTGTGTGTGTGTGTGTGTGTGTGTGTGTGTGTGTGTGTGTACATAGTAGGCATTTAACTGTCTTTGAGCCTCACTAAGGGTGTTTTGGCCATCTTATAAGGAGACTGAGTCTGGCTAGAGAGCTGGGATACTGAGAACATTTTTGTCTGGCTGTGTGACCATCTTAGTATGCAGGGCCATGTCACATGCCAGCTCATGCATTCATTTGAGCTACACAAATGACAGTGTGTGTGTGTGTGTGTGTGTGTGTGTGTGTGTGTGTGTGTGACCATCATAGTTTGCCTCTGTTGCTACTGTGTTTCTGTCTTGTCTATGAAGAACTCAGGCCAGCTTCCAGGGCCTCTCTGACTCTCTTTTCTCTCTTCTCTGCTGCATTCCTGACCTCTGGGGGCCCTAGGGGCACCATGGTAAGGTGAGTCCACAGGGTGGGGATGCTGACCACATGGGGAAGGTTGACATACCAGGGTGTGATGCCTCTCTCTCTGCCCCTTTCTCCCCAGGTGGCTGCGAGCCTACGAGAGTGCTGTCTCCTTCCACTTCAGCAACTATTTTGTGGGCTTTCTGTCCGAAGCCACAGCCACATTGGCGGGGGCTGGCTTCACGGAGGAGAAGGACCACTTAGAATGGTGGGGAAGGCTTGGGGGCCTCCTCTCCCACAGGGTGTTGCCTGGAGGATCTTGAGGGAGGAAGGAGGTGCTCCCAGAACAAAAGCAGATGGCCTGAGAATTCAACTGGATTTGCATGTCTATTTTGCCCACAGGGACCTGACAGTCTCCAGGCCATTGAATGTGGAGCTACCTCGGTCCATGGTAGAAGTTGTTACAAGCTGGAACCTGCCCATGTCTTACTGGTTAAATAACTGTGAGTCACCAAATCCGGGAGAGTTGGTAACTTGGATTTCACACAGTTATACAACAAGCATTTACCTGTGAGCTGGGTACTGAAAATATATCAGGAGCTGGCAGTGTAGCTCAGTTTTTAGAGTGCTTGCCTTGCATGCATGAAGCCCTGGGTTCGATTCCCAGCACCTCATAAAAACTGGATGTGGGCTGGGCGTGGTGGAGCACACTTTAGTCCCAGCACTTGGGAGGCAGAGGCAGGCCAATCTCTGAGTTCAAGGCCAACCTGGTCTACATAGTGAGTTCCAGGTCAGCTGGGGCTACTGGGAGACCCTGACTCAAAAAAAACCTGCATTTGGTGATACATGCCCACAATTCCATCACTGTGGAGGTAGAGGCTGGAGGGTCAGAAGTCCAAGGTCATCCTCAGCACCATAGAGTTTGAGGACAACATAGGATATATAAGATCTTGTCTTTTAAAAAAAAGACAAATCAGGGACAAAAAAAATCATAAAATTTGCTGACCTTGTAGAACTGGCAGTTTGAAAGATGAATAATAAATAGGAGAAAAAATATGAAATAGTTGAGGTAGTAATAATTGCCACAGTAAATAGTGATAATGATGTTAAAATAGTACTGGCAGGAAAGCAGGAGCAGGGAGTAGTATGGAAATTTTAAATAAATTATCCAGGGCAAATTTCACTGAGGATGTGACATTTGAGCAAAGGTCTAAGGAAAGTGAAGGAACAAGGAATGCAGATATATATATGTGGGGGGAGGAGAAAGGCAGATGGTAAGAACAGCAGGTACAAAGGCCCTGAGGTGGGAATCTGGTTGGTATAATATGTGCAGGACAAAGAAGGTCGTTGGGGGTGCTGGGAATGTGTCTCCATGGTAGGGTATGTGCAGGGCTCTGAGTTCCATACCCAGCACTGGTCCTTGGGCTGGCAGAGAATGAACAAGGGCCCAGAGGTGGGCCAGAGATAGCCTCAAAAGCCCCCTTGACCACTGAGAGGCCAAAGCTGCTCAGAGGAAAAGCTCTCTGTGAGAGCTGGATGGAGGGAAAGCGAGGAGATAGGGAGGATGGTAGTGAAGAAGTAGTGATGTAGCTAACCAGGCCAGCCCCGGTAGCAGCCAAGTATGTGGGGAGAAGTTGGATTCTGGTATTTTCTGAAAGAGGAACAGATGGGATTTGCTGAGTGTGGATGTATGGGAAGGTAGAACAAGGGTGAGGCTGAGGATTTTGCCCTGAGGACCCGGAGGGGTGGGGTTTGGTGTTGACGGAAATTGGGAAATCCAGAAGCAGAGTAGAGGGAAGATTTGGAGATAGATTTGGGGCTTGTGATATTTGAGGGAAATACACCAAACATACACCAAACATCATAAGGACTTCATCCTGAGGGCCTCCACAGATTATGAGTATCATCCTGCCTGTGGCTCTCAGGAAGGGCTGGTAGAAGTTTCTGACAATCTTGACCTATCTCTCTCTACAGATGTTTTCAAAAATGCTCTCCGCCTGGGGACCTTCTCGGCTGTGCTGGTCACCTATGCAGCGAGCGCCCTCCTGCATGTGAGCAAGGTGGACTGGGATCGGGAGGAGTTGGGCGGGATAGCAAGGCCTCCTCTTCACTCACCTCACTGCCCCCTTCCCCGGTCTTCAGGGCTTCAGCTTCCACCTGGCTGCTGTACTGCTGTCCCTGGCATTTATCACATACGTGGAGCACGGTGAGTGCAGGGCCCCAGCCCAGCACAGGTGGAAGGTTCATGGGAGGCTGGATCCATTGTTCCTTGGAACTAATCTGACTGCCTACCCCCTTACTTCCCTGCAATGTCCAGTCCTCCGGAAGCGCCTGGCTCACATTCTCAGTGCCTGCATCTTGTCGAAGCGTTGTCTGCCAGACTGTTCACACCGCCATCGCTTGGTGAGGGTACATCCTGGGTTACCTTGTTCCCTACACTGTCTCTCAAAAATGTCATTTCTGTCTTCATCTTGTATCTGTCTCAGGGTGCCCAACCTCCTCTTCTGGTGCATGAGCCATCCCTAAAACCCGCTTCTATTCACTGGCATCTGTTTCTCTAACAGGCATTTTTTGAGCACCTGATGTATACACACCTGGCATTCGTTCTCCCAATGAACATTTATTGAGCACCTGCTGGTTCTAGGTGCTGGAGACAAAGTGGTGAACAAAGCAGGCCAAAATCCTGGCCCCGTGGAACAAACAATTTAACAGGGGACAGTAAAGTAAAAATAAGTCAATCAAGACTAATAGTTTGTCAGGTTGTGAGTAGTGCTAAGCATAGGGGAAAGGGGATGGGAAGTATGGTGGTGGTGGTTTCTCTTTTCAGTGGGGAGATCAGGAAAGCCTCCATGGCTGAGACATCTTGTAAGTTCTTTAAGTGAAGGAGATGAGGGAAGCATCCCAGGATAAGGGGACACCCAGCATAAAGCCCCCTCCACGACATGGGGACTCTGAGCAACAGTGAGAAGGCCAGCATGGCTTGAGCAGATAGTGAGGGGAAGAGGGGAGACATGGGTCCTCTAGGTCAAGGTGGGATTTGTTTTTGTTTTGTTGTTGTTTTCATTCTGTTTGCCATAAGAAATACAGACAACCTCACATTTGTCTCCCTTCTGGCAACGATGCTCATCACCATAATCCCCGGCTCAAAGCCCTACCATTCTTGCTCCTCTGCCTGAACGTTCACATCTCCCCCAACCTGGACGCCCTCATGGTTACCAGCACCCTCGTCCTTGGATACCTCTGAGCTCCCATAAGAGGCTCCCTGAATCATCTCTTTCCTATCTCGGGGTACCCTGGGCATCCTCATTCCTGGGACCCACAGTGCCTTGTGTCCCGCTGGGCTTCCCTGTACAGGTGGTGGTGGGGGATATTGAGCAGGTCTAGCTGCCAAACATATCCATCTGTCCCCCACAGGGCCTGGGTGTACGAGCCTTAAACTTGCTCTTTGGGGCCCTGGCTATCTTCCACCTGGCCTACTTGGGCTCCTTGTTTGATGTCGATGTGGATGACACCACAGAGGAGCAGGTGAGGTGGGGCCCTGGGCTGGGAGGTGGACCAGGGATGGCACTTCCTGTTTGTGGGACCCTTAAAGACCAAGTCATTGAGGCCAAGTCATGTGTCTTAACTTGTGCAACAATTGCCTTGTTCCACCTTTCCCATTATCCCTCAGGTAGACTCACACAGCTGGTGACTAAACTACAAAATCAGTTTGCTTATTTACCCTCTAAACTTCGTTCTATGGAAATGGAGTACAGAATTCAGGTTTTTTCCAGGCTGGGAGTGGTGACACACACCTTTAGTACCAGCACTCAGGAGGCAGAGGCAGGCAGATCTCTGTGAGGTCAAGGTCAGCCTGGTCTACATAGCAAGTTCCAGGCCAGCCGAGGCTACAGGGAGACCCTGTCTCAAAAAAACCAAAAAAAAAAAAAAAAATCAGGTTTTCCTCTTTTTTTAACTTCTAGGGACCAAAGGTCACATTATATACTTGCGTATCACTGCGCTATACCCCTAGCCCTAGCATGTAATTTTTTTTTTTTTTGGTCTTTTTGAGACAGGGTCTCCCTGTAGCCCCAGCTGGCTTGCCCTGCCTCCCGAGTACTGGGATTAAAGGGATGTAACACCACACCTGGCAACCTTTACTTTTGTTTGTGGTTTTTGTTGTTTTGTTGGGGGGGGGTATGGAGACAGGGTCTCATGTATTCTAGGCTGGCCCCAAACTCATTATGTAGCTGAGGATGACCTTGGACTTCTGATTCTTCTACTGCCACCTGCCAAGGGCTGAGATTATAGGCATGCACTATCACACCCAGTTTTATGGCATGCTGGAGATCAAATCCAGGATTTATGTAAGCGCTCTACGAACTGTGCTATATACCCCAGCCCTAGGATTTTTTGTGTGTGTGTGCAAGACAGGGTCTCAAGTACTCCTGCTGGCTTCCAACTTGATATGTAGACAAGGACAGCCTTGAACTTCTGGTCCTCCTGCCTTAACCTCCTGAGTACTAAGGATGGAACCCAAAGCTTCCTGAATGCTAAGTAGTCACTCTACCAACTGAGCTACATCCATAGCCCTGGATTCTGCTTCACTGAAATTTTATATTCCGTGCCAGGTGTGGTGGTACACACCTTTAATCCCAGTGCTTGGGAGGCAGAGGCAGGCAGATCTCTGTGAGTTCAAGTCCAGCCTGGTCTGCATAGCGAGTTCCAGGCTAGCTGGGGCTACAAGGAGACCCTGTCTCAAAAAGACAAAAAAAAATTTATATTCCTTGGAATGGTGATGCACACCTACAGGTCCCAGGGCAGCTGATGCAGCAGCATCACATGAGCCCAGGAATTCAAAACTGGCCTGAGCAACATATTGAGACCCTGATTTTTAAAATTCACTTTAAGCCTGGTGTGGTGGTGCATGCCTGCAGTCCCAGCACTTGGGGGGAAGAGGCAGGTGGATCTATGAGTTCAAGACCAGCCTGGTCTGCATAGTGAGTTTCAGGACAGCTGGGACTACAGGGAGACCCTGTCTCAAAAAAAATTCACTTTAAAATTGCTATACTATTTTTTTTCATGTCAGATATACAAATTCTAATCTTTTTACAATTGACAACAACTTAAAAATAATATTTATTCATGTGGCTCTTACAAAATCTAAATTTTTCTTTTAAGTTTTACTTTTTGTATTTTTGAGACAGTGTATCACTATGTCCCCAAGGCTACCCTCAAACTCCAGATCCTCCTCCCTTAGCCTCTCCAACAATTAGTTTCTTTTTTTCTTTTTTTTCTTTTTTTGGTCTTTTTGAGACAGGGTCTCCCTGTAGCCCCAGCTGTCCTGGAATTCACTATATAGACCAGGCTGGCCTTGAACTCACAAAGATCTGCCTGCCTCTGCCTCCCCAGTGCTGGGATTAAAGGCATGTACCACCACGCCCAGCCCCAATAATTAGTTTTTTTAATTATTTTTTAAAATATGTATATGTATGTGTGTCTGATTGAATATACCATGTATGTGTGTGTGCTCACAGAGATCAGAAGAGGGCATCAGATCCCCTGGAGCCACCCAGTGTGGGTGCTGTAAATCGAACTCCAGTCCTCTGGAAGAGTTGTAAATGCTCTTAACCCCTGAGCCATCTCTCCAGCCCTTGTTTTTTAAATTCTTAATTCAAAAAATTTCTTTGCTTTTTTCTAATTAAAAATAATTTTAAATTTTCATTCAAATTAAGTGTACAAAATTGGTTTGTTCCTTTTCTATTTTTCTTTTTCTTTTTTATTTTTTTTGTTTTTTTGAGACAGGGTCTCCCTGTAGCCCCAGCTGTCCTGGAACTCACTAGGTAGACCAGGCTGGCTTTGAACTCACAGAGATCCACCTGCCTCTGCTGGGATTAAAGGTGTGTGCCACCATTCCCGCCTGTTCCTTTTTTATTTTTAAATATTTATTTATTACTTTTATGTGTATGAGTATATTGCTTGCATGCATGTAAGTGCACCTGTGTCATACAGTGCCCAAGGAGGTCAGAAGAGGGTGTCGGAGTCCCCTGGAATTGGAGTTATGGATGGTTGAAGCCAGTGCTCTTAACTGCTAAGCCATTTCTCCAGTCTCTAGCCCACACCCCCTTTTTTAGACAGGGGCTCAGTATCTAGTCCAGGCGGGCCTGAAAACTGTTTCTCCAGTTTCAGCCTCTCTAGTGTGAGGACTACATGTGTCAGGCATCATGCCCACTTTGTTTTCTTTTTAAATAAAACTTTTATTTCACTTTATCTTTTTTTTTTCTATTTTTTGAGAAAGGGTCTCCTTGTAGCCCCAGCTGTCCTGGAACTCACTATGTAGACCAGGCTGGCCTCGAACTCACAAAGTTCCGCCTGCCTCTACCTCCCAAGTGCTGGGATTAAAGGTGTGTGCCACCACGCCTGGCCTTTCACTTTATCTTTTTGTAAAAAAATTTTTAAATTTAAAAATTTTTTAAATTTATTTTTATTTTATGTGTATGAGTGTTTTGCCTGCATGTATGCTAAGTGCACCTATGTCATGCAAAGCCTGCAGAGGCCAGAAGAGGGCGTTAGATCCCTGGAACTGGAGTTCGAGGCAGTTGTTAGCCGCCATGAGGGTGCTGGGAATTGAACCCAGATCCTCTGATTGAGCAGCCAGTGTTCTTAATTGCTGAGCCATCTCTCCAGCCCCCAAAAGCTTTATCATATTTTTTTGAGACAGTGTCTCATTATGTTGCCCAGGTTGGCCTCCAAATCATGATTCTCCCTACTTCAGCCTCCCAAGTAGATGAGATTACAGATATGTACCACTATACCAGGCTTTAACTTTTATTACAATATTTTTAGGGTTGAGAATGTAGCTAAGTGCCTACCATGCTTGGAGTATGGTCCTTAGAACCACAAAAGCAAAACCAAACAAAAATTTAGTATTGTATATATTCACAGGAAAAAATCTTCCTCACATGTTCTATCCCTTGCCAAGTTACAAGCAATCACCTTTATTCATTTTATTAAATATCCTCCCCCAGTTCAAGCATATCACATACAATATGGCACTATTCTACAATTTTTAAAAAATCTTCCATATCAGTTTAAAATGTCTTCATTTTTCTCCATTATAAGGATGACACATGGTTTACTTTGTCCCCTTATTTGTGGACACTCAGGTGATTTCCTGTTGCAACTAATGTATATGACAAGCATGAGCCAATACAGTGTCTTGTTTTAAAAGTGATTTTTTTTTTGTCTTTTTTTTTTGAGACAGGGTCTCCTTGTAGCCCCAGCTGTCCTGGAACTCACTATGTAGACCAGGCTGGCTTTGAACTCACAAAGATCCGCCTGCCTCTGCCTCCCAAGTGCTGGGATTAAAGGCGTGTGCCACCACACCCGGCTGATTTTTTGTTTTTGAGACAAGGTCTCCCTGTAGCCCTAGCTGGCCTAGAACTCACTATGTAGACCAGGCCTCAATCTCACAGGGATCTGCCTGCCTCTGCCTCCCAAGTGCTGGGATTAAAGGCATGTACCACCATGCCCGGCCCTAAAAATGATTTTTTGGGGGGGTGCTGCGGGGGGCTCAAAACCCACAGCCTCCTCCATACAAAGACACACCCTCCTATTAAGCTACACCATTGGCCCCATAAAATGACTTTTTTTTTGGACAGGTGCTCCCTTAGCTCCAGCTGGCTGTGTAGATCAGGCTGGCCTTGATCACACTGATGCCTGCTTCTGCATCCCAAGTGCCGGGATCACCATGCCCAACCCCTAAATTTTTTTGGGGGGGGTCTTTTTGAGACAGAGTCCCCCTGTAGCCCCAGCTGGCCTGGAACTCGCTATGTAGACCAAGCTGGCCTCAAACTCACAGAGATCTGCCCGCCTCTGCCTCCCAAGTACTGGGGACAAAGGCATGCGCCACCACACCCAGCTCCCTAAAATGATTTCTAAAGAACAAAACGCAAACTATATTTGGTCACCTTTCATATGTACCCAGACCCTTCTGTCATTTAGCGATACCAAGGAATACAAAATATCCCTGGGCAAAGAATGGGTTTTCCTGAGACTTTCTGTCCTTGTTGAGTAGAACCATGACCTTTTTCTCTCCCACAGGGCTATGGCATGGCATACACTATCCACAAGTGGTCAGAGCTCAGCTGGGCCAGTCACTGGGTCACTTTTGGATGCTGGATCTTCTACCGTCTAATAGGCTGAGACATAATGCCCTCATAGCCCCCTTTCAAGACCCCTCCTCAGGGTACCAGCTCTGATGGGGTATGAGGGAAGGCCCTCTCTCTACTCCTTGACCCCTCTCCATCCTTGTTACCCCAAATCCCTACAAAAACACCCCCACACACCAACACGAATAGAATTTCCATGCTTGTCAATCCCCACCCCACCACCAGGCAGGAAGGGGGTGGTCTCTGCTGGGGCCTAGGGGTGGGGGATACTTGTCAAAGCAGAGAGGAGCAGATCCAGGGCCTCCCCATGCGCCTTCTCCCTTTTTATATACAGTTTGTTGTTGTCAAATAAAAATAAAAATACACAATAGGCTCACTCTTCACTGATCAGAGGGGAATATGAGAGAGCAATGAAGGTACAGCACAGATTAAGGGTTTGGAAAACTGAAATTCATGAAGAGGGAGCAGATTGTGATTCCTTCCTTGGTGAATTTACAATTGGTGGTGGTTGACTGATGAGCCCAGGATGACAGGGTCCTGGTCCTGGTTCAGTGGAGCAGGAACAGATTTTGTGGGGGAGGCCTAGTTCTAAATGGCAGAGAATTGAGAGATCCCTATTCTGATTGGTTGCTTGGACTGGGACAGCCAGGAGAACATAAGGCAGATGAAAGGTTGACGCTTATTGGTCCTTAGGACTAAGGACTGTGGGTTATAATTGGACTGGAGGTCTGAAGAGGGTCTGGATTCTGAGTGAATGCTGGCAACGTGTGGGTCCTCACTGGTTTAGAGTTAGGCCATTCTGGTTGGCTCTAAGAACTGGCATGGTTAAGAGCCTTCCTGCGAACTGGCTAGCAGGACTAAGGATTCTGAATAGTTCTGATTTGAAGTCTGGAGGTGAGTTCTGAGAGCTCTGGCAGCCTTGAAGTGGGCGCTAGGTTTATTTGTGCAAGATATCTTCCTGTCATAGTTTCTTTGCATTCGAATTAAGCATGGGTCTGGGAACTGCCCAGAAGACAAAGATGAGAGACTAACACAAAGCTGATTTAAAAGCAAAGTTGAGGACATACAACTTCATTATCCTCCATCCCTCCCCCGCTATGATTGATAAGGAGGCGGGGAAACTGACGACCAGAAACGCTGTAGATTTGCTACTGGCAGAAAACACCCACCAACCTTTGGCGGGTCTCGGTACCCACCCGGACTCCTGACAGTCTCAGCCAACAGCGAAAATGGCACCACACGCGGGAGGACAGGACTTGCGACGCACTGAGAGCTCCTATTGGTGGAAGGCCACTTCCCCATCTCCCTATTGGTCTGCTCCATTAGGCGGGGAAGTCGCGAGGGATGGGCCGAACTGGGTATGTTAGGGACTCACCCAGGAGATTTCTCCACCTGTGCCGGGAAGCGACGTGGCGATCGCGTAGACTGGGTGAGTGCCCCCCTCGCCCCGGGCCACCGAACTAGAGCCCTCCACACTTGTGCCAGACCTCTCCGGCCCTTCCAGCGCTGAAACCCACGAACCCATCCCCACCCTGTCCAGACGACCAAAAAGACTCGCCCTCTAGTTGGGCAGCGGCACTGGAAGGTTCTGGTTATGATTGGTGGTCCCGGGGCTCCGCTCCCTTTCCTCCTGATTAGCACCGCCCCTTGAGACCCCACCTTTCATACTCCTTCCGACTGGCTGGCAGAGTGGCAGACTGCCTGGAGTCTGGCTTTTTGAAAGCGGTACCTATAGCTCTGATTAGTTATTTCTACAGCCCCCCTCCCCCAGCTGCAATTTCCAGGACCCCGGGTGGGGGGAAATCGCTGCCAATTGAATGGTCCAAGACACTGGCCCCCCGCAGTGGACTCAGGTTCTGTTCCCGTGTCTCCACCAAACTTTGATCCCCAAGTGCTGGGACCTGCCTTGGTGACAATGATTCTCCCACCAGACTGTGACTGATGAGGGCTGGGACCAAAACTGATTCCTGTGTGTTCCTCACCAGATTGTGACCCCTTAGGGCTGAGATCAGGCCTCAGGTTCTTGTCACCTCCACCAGACTGTGGCCAATGAGGACTGGGACCAGACCTTGGACCTGTGTGTCCCTCACCACGTTGTGATCCCCTGAGGGCTGAGTCTGTGACTGGCAACAGGAAATACAACTCAATGTTGCCTGAAGTGCTGCCTCAGGAGTCGCGCTCAGAGCCTCAGGGGCCTCTGCCCTGGTACACAGGAATCCTTGAAACCTGCAGTGGAAAACAATATTTGGATGTGTCACAGTAAAGCAGTTAGTGACTTGATTAAGCAGAAGATAAAGCAAGCAGTACTTGAAGAGTTTGTGTGTTAGGAGAGGAATGTACCTATATTTCCAGCAGTAGCTATATATCTGATTTGGGGGCTTGGAAACTACTTAATCTTTGTTTGTTTGTTTAGAGGATGTTGCGATATAGCTCTGGTTGCCCTAGAACTTGCTATATACACCAGGCTAGCCTGGAACTCAAGGCAACCCTTCCACCTTAACCACCAGAATGTTGGGACTTCAGGCATGTACCATCATACCCTGTTGTAACTAAGTTTAAATACTAGGGAAAGTATATGCTGGTATACTTATTTCTTTAATCTTCAGAATTCTGTCCTTGAAGATATAGATATGTTATGTGGACTTGCAGATGGAGAAGGGGGTACTGGTAGAGATAAAACATTGATCAAAGGGTTCTTATACATATTTCACAAGAAGATTGAACTTCAAGGCATACATAGTTCATTAGCTAGTTTTAATAGTTTCTTTTGTGCTGTTTCCAAGAAAAGAAAGTATAGTTTCTTTACAGGTGGCCTGGTTAAGCATGTTAGAATTCCTAAAATCATTACCATTACCAGGAGAGTGAGGGGGACGTTTCCCTTCTCATGGCACCTTGGTTTACTAATTAACTCTCTTGTCTCAAACCAGGCCCATTTCTTGTTACTATGCCTCCTAGAGGCCTGGAACAAGGCTTTAGTCTTTTTGTAGCCTTATATTTTAGTCATATTCTTGAAATGGCTCATAATTAGATTTTTTATTTTTGATCCAATCTTCCTTCAAATAATAGATTCAAACCATTTATATTTCTTGTTGTAATAAACTGTTTGGATTTGGTTTAATTATCTCACCCTGTGATTTCTATTTGCCCAGGTTTTTCTGTTCCTTTTTTCTCCTCTCTGTTTGTCTACATACAACCAGCAGCCCTTAGAAACATGACCACCAACTTGGGTCCCTTGCACCCGTACTGGCCCCGGCACCTGAGGCTGGATAACTATGTGCCTAATGACCTCCCCACCTGGCATATCCTGGTTGGCCTATTCTCCATCTCTGGGGTCCTAATTGTGATCACATGGCTGTTGTCGGGTCGAGCTTCGGTTGTTCCACTAGGAACTTGGCGGCGACTCTCCGTGTGCTGGTTTGCAGTGTGTGCATTCATTCACCTTGTGATCGAGGGCTGGTTCTCTTTCTACCAGGAGGTCCTTCTTGGAGACCAAGCCTTCTTATCCCAACTTTGTAAGTCCAGAATTCTTTTGTTGTGGGAGGAAATTTTCTTGGCAAGGATTGGCTTTGATATTTACCTACCCAGTGATGCTTTAATTGATTTATTTTTTTTACTTTTTTTAGGGGGGGAGGGTTGAGGCAGGATCTCCCTATATCCCTAGCTGACCTGGAACTCACTATGTAGACCAGGCTGGCCTTGAACCACAGAGATCTGCCTGCCTCTGCCTCCTGAGTGCTAGGATCAAAGGCATATGCTACTGCACTCAACTTCTGCATTTTTAAAACTTTTGTGTATTAATATTATTATGCCTGCATATATGTAAGTGCACCCATGTTGTACAATGCCCATGGAAGCCAGAAGAGGGGTTGGATCCCCTGTTACTGATGGTTGTTAGCCACTGTGTGGGTGCTGGGAACTAGACCTGGGTCTTCTGCAAGAGCAGCTAGTGCTCTTAACCACTGAGACATCTCCCCAGCCTCTTCTGCATTCTTGACAATATCCTTTTTTGCCTCATGAATAAAGCTGTTATCAACATTCTATGCATGACTTTATGTTGACCTCTGCTCTCATTTATTTTGGGTAAATATATACAAGTAGAATGCTGAGTCTTATGGTAGTTATACATATAATTTTAGAAAAAACTACCAAAGGCTAGGGCTATAGCTCAGCAGTAGAGTGCTTACTTGGCACATGCAAGGCCCTAGGTTTCATCCTAGTATTGGGATTGGGGAGGAACCCTACCAAGCTGTTTTAAAAAATGATTGTACTATGTTACAACCTCACCAGCAGAATAGGAGAGTTTTGGTTCCTCCACATCCTCACCAACATTTGGTATAGTAAGGTGCTCCCTAAATTTTAGTCACTCTAGTAGCTGTGATAGTTCATTGTGGTTTTAATTTGCTTTTCCTTAATGACTAATGAAAGTTTAACTACCTTTTATATGGCAATTTGGGAATTTTCTTTTGTGAAGAAGCTATTCAAGTGTCTTGCCTATTTTTATTTATTTATTTTTTGTTGTTTGTTTTTTCAGACAGGGTCTCCTTGTGCCTCAGGCTAGCCTGGGATAGATATGTAGACCAGGCTGGCTTCAGTCTCACAGAGAACTGCCTGCCTCTGCCTCCTGAATGCTGGGATTAAAGGCCTGTACCACCATGCCTGGCTATATTTCTTTCTCTTTTTTTTTGTATTTTTGAGAAAAGGTCTCACTGTAGCCCCAGCTGGCCTGGAACTCACTTTGTAGACCAGGCTGGCCTTGAACTCCCAGAGATCTGCCTGTCTCTGCCTCCCGAGTGCTAAAACTAAAGGTGTGTGCCACCACGCCCATTTTTTTGTTGTTTGTTTTGCATTTTTGAGACACAGACTTCCTGTAGCCCCAGCTGGCCTGGAACTCACTATGGTGAACTCACTATGGAACTCACTATGGTCACCAGGCTGATGGTTGTTCTCACAGAGATCTGCCTGCCTCTGCCTCCAGAGTTCTGGGATTAAAGAAGTACACCACCACACTCAGCTCTGTCTTACCTATTTTTTTTTTTTTGGTCATTTTGAGACAGGGTCTCCCTGTAGCCCCAACTGTCCTGGAACTCACTATGTAGACCAGGCTGGCCTTGAACTCACAAAGATCTGCCTGCCTCTGCCTCCCAAGTGCTGGGATTAAAGGCATGCTCCACTGCGCCTGGCTGTCTTACCTATTTTTATACTGTGGTTTTTGTTTTGATTTTTGGTGGGCGTTGGGGATAGACTATACTCAGGGTCTCATACATGCTGGGCAAGCATTCTGTCACTGAGCTACACTCCTAGGCTGGTATTTTTCTTTTTAAAAAACATTTTATTTATTATTTTTTTATGTGTATTGAGTGTATTGCCTGCATGTGTATAAGTACACCTGTGTCATGCAATGTCTGCAGAGGTCAAAAGGGGGCGTTGGATTCCCCCGGAACTGGAGTTACAAATGGTTGTTAGCCAGCACGTGGATGCTAGGAATCAAACGCAGGTCCTCTGCAAGAGCAGCCAGTACTTTTAACTACTGAGCCATCTCTCCAGCCCCGTGATTGGTATTTTTCTTATCTTTTGTTCACTCTTTCATTCACTCATGTGTTCTCCATGCATATACTCTCTCTCTCTTCCTCTCTATCTTTCTCTCTTTTTGTTTGATTCTCCATCTTCTGTTTTTTTTCCAGAGTATCATGTAGAGCAAGCTGGCCTCTAACTCTCATATACCTAAAGATGACCTTTAACTTCTAAGCCTTCTGCTTCCATCTGCCAAGTGCTGGGATTACAGGCATGCATCATCACGCCTGGCTCTCTATCTCCTCGTTCTATCTATATATGCTTCATTTTTTTTTTTTTGGTCTTTTTGAGACAGGATCTCCCTGTAGCTCCAGCTGGCCTGGAACTCACTATGTAGACCAAGCTGGCCTTGAGCTCACAGAGATCCACCTGTCTCTGCCTCCTGAGTGCTGGGATTAAAGGCATGCACCACCATG